GGCACAAGTTTAGAAAAACAACTAAGCCGGTACAAAAGGATGTTTACTGTATTATATTTCCCTTTTGAACGTGAGCCTTGTTTCTTTTATTAAAATAACAGTATGTATGTGCTTTATCTAGGTTAAGTTATCATTTCATCAACAAACGAGTAGTGAACATCCCATCTGTCCAACTATGGAAATATGGCAAGTAAAAGAAAATAACAGCAGTAAAGGAACATCTCAGCTTTATTATTTGATTTTTCTGAAGGGCATCTTTTGTGCAACTCGCATGCTTTGCCCATAACACCCTTGGGAGCACTCAGGGTGGCTTCAAGAATCACAGAGTCTGTCTCATGGTTGCCTTCACCCACATGGCTGTCTCACAGCCAACCCAAGGATTGACACACCAAATACACTCATGAGGGTCTAATCAGCTCAAAAGAGCATACTTCAACCATTTCTGAAGCTGCTATTCTGGCTTGCTTCCAGCACAGCAGGTAAGTCCAGTTTTGATAGTATATAGCACAGAAAAATATATGCTATGTCTTATATGAAGCTGTTGTTCATAAAGAAGTAGAGGTATTCAGTCATTCATACCACTAAGCTTGCTTTATTGAGAAAGATGTCACAAGGCAAGAGAACATGAGAGTACAGGGCCACTTCAGCTCAAGCAAACATATAACGCAAAACCTGCAGTAAAGCTCTAATCTAAAGTTGGTGTCTAAGAAGTATTATGTACATCCTATTGTACTCTATGCCAACTGGAATTTTCTTCATCCAAAAGGCTCTTGCTGGGTAATGTGAATATATCTCTGCATAGTATTAACTGGGAAGGATCACACTTAAGTCAGAGGAACTCCACTGAGTCAATGGAGTTACACCAGTTCAATTGTGATGTGAAAGAGACATTGACAACAGGGTCAAGCCTTGTGTTTGAATCAGTACACCACAGAAAACCTTGTGGTTTGTGCCAGAGTTATAGCACATTAAAAATACGTCGTGAAAAGAGAAAAAATGTCATGCTTTATTTTGTGGCTACCAAAACCTCCTTTTTCTCCTTTGCCACATGCAAGTCATTGCTAGAAGAGCCTCTTTGTTCAGGCCAAGAAGGCTAGCATGAGGAAAGGGAGGTGCCTGGTCCCTAAACATGAGATCCCATTAATATTACTGATAGACTATTCTTTAAAGAGATCCATCTGTTTCTTATTTGGCATATTCAGAATAGTAGCTTGTTACATTTTTACAAGAATCTGTGTGATCCAAGAAAAGCAAAACCTCATGTAATGAAAGAAAAGGGAGAATACTTATTAAACAATCCCATCCATGCTGTACAACTTAAACATCCATCTCCAAAATGGCTTTAGCCTGTTCCATTCACAGCTGTCAGATTTCTTTGCTTCAGGGGAAGGGGGTAGAAATCTACTTATTTCCCTTCAATTTTCAAAAAAAACGCATAAAAGTAACATCTCCTAAGTCCAGAATAAATCTTCTCTTATTGTAAATCCGTATGAAATGCTGCCCTTCAAAACTGTTTTACAAACAGGTTTCTTCAGTCAAACTCCTAAGATGTCCCTGCAAGAATTTAAGATGAAGGCAGAGCTGAGGTATGATGAAGTCAGATTAGGACCAATCTATGATAGTAGGTATCTTTGCTTGGATAACAACAACTGCAAATTACTCTGAGCTGAGTGTGGAAATATAGAAGACATGCCACAAAAGGTAGGAAAGAACAAAATGTCCAAACGTAAAGTCTGGGTCTTCCTTCAAGTATTAAGTATATGATTTCCAAACAACAGAAGGGGCTTGTATTCAGCTTGTAGTCTATACATGTTTGTTTAAATGACTGAAATAGTCAAAAGCATTATTTCTTAGAGTCAATATAAAGTTGTTTAGAATCCAGTGCTTCTGTTTTATCCTAACAAAGAAGCAAACCTAACTATTCATGTTATTTATCAACACTGCCCCTTCCTCTAGCTGGTATTTAAATCAACATTTTAAAATGTTTTATGCCTTCCTGATATATAAAGTCATTTAACTGTACTCTCAGTTTTGATGATGCATATTATATATTGACAACATCCATGTATAAGTATTTATACAATATTTAATACACTATTTAAGTAATGCAATGACAGGATAAGGTGGCAACAACCAAACCTACTTCTGAACAACCAAAAGATAATGAGAATTCAAGACGCATATATGATCAGAGTAAAAATTTAGTATTATGACTACACACCTGAGAGGCTATTTGATTTTCAGAGGCAATATTACTTTCAAGAAGGTTTCGATGTACTATGATGCCCATCGCTCAGTTTATGCAGCTGTAGGTTCAGGACACTGCCATGAGTCAGCTGTCAGCAGGCCAAGTACATAATGCAGCTAAACTGCATTACTATTAACCTCCAAATGATTGCCTTTTTTTTTTAATTGCCATATAACTGTACACCAGAAGCATTATTCTTCTTTTTATAGATAAGTACTTATCTCATACTCATGAAGAAAGATATTAAAACTGATGTCAGATAGAAGTTGCTGGAATTTTTCTGAGTTTGCAGATGCTCCAAACTCACAATCAGCAAAATCAAATTATCATCAGGATTCAGAAACAAGAATTGCCATTGAAACAAAATATTTTAGCAGCAGAACCACAAGGTGATGTACTTCTTTTTCAGTTTCAAAATGAAAGAGCAGCTAGTCACATCCATGGTGCTCAAGAAGTGAACAAAAATCAGATCTCTGCCTTCAACTGCAAACTGCTTGCACCCAACAGAAAGCAGAGCATGGTCCTGTCCCCTGTCACAAACCTCCTCAAATCCTGCCTTGACTCCGAGCACAAAGGGCAGTACCACAAGCCCCTGTTGCTCCCTACGCCACTGCCAAAATCTCTCCATTGATCTTCTACAATGCACTGGTGCTCTGACAGTCCAAAAATAACACTGGTGTTATGCTTCAAATTTAGGATTTGAAACAATACAAAATGAACTGGATAGCAAAAGAGTGCTACTGATTAACACAGACAGCAACGGATGAAACTCAGCGTGCTCTGTTACATGAAGACTAGTACATGTGTAGGTCATTTAATTTTGGTAATACATTTGGCTAATGGGATATTCCACTAGCTGCTCTCTGTGCATTGCCAGTTTGCAGTATGGGTGGAAGGAGGTCTTGGCACAGAAAATAGAGAAGACCTCTGCTTTCCTGGGATGGAAGGATAATGGGATGCATCCTTCAAAACTATTACTTGGAAAAAGATACCCTGTGAAACATCATCCCTTTCTGGAACTACAGAGAAGAGCTGATGCTTTGCAGAGGTCACTGCTAATTCCTCCAGCTCATAAGAGTGCTCCTGATAATATGCAGGATATACAGACACACTGCAATGGAGAAAATGTATTTCCCTTCAGCTGTCTAGCAGTGAAGACATCTTGATCCCAGAGACAGTGTTAATCAGTCTCCAGATGGACCTCAAATTATTTGTTACCATTTCAAAACTTTGCTTCTTAAAAAAAAAAAAAAAAAAGAGAGAGTAAAAAGAGACCTGAGAATGCAAATATATCTTAAAGGGTATGCCTTAATGCTCCTTCTGAGCTTCAGAATGGGTTGTGTTGGAACTTACTGTGACTGAATAATGTGCTGGAAACCCCACTGAAGCCAGGTATTCCCAAACAAGGCCTTCATCATTTCTGATAGAAAACTTGTGACATAAGCTATTATATAAAGATATCTGCATTAGGAAATCTCATCTCCTTCTCAGCTAAGCCTGAAACAAGAGCAGAGCTATTTTTAAGTCTGAAAAGCTGTTAACCTGTACTTAATTTCAGAAAGCTAACAATTGAAAATTTCACTTTTGGTCCAGATGTGTTTTTGTCATACATGCCAGAGCCATGTACTCCAAGGGAATACACTACAACAAAGGTAAGATAAAAAGCAGTTTCCAATACCTGCTTTCATCAAAAGCATGGTTCATTCCTGAGAAAGGACAGCACCTCAACCATGAGGAGTCTTCTCCTTCTGGAGGTCAACGCTGCCTCACAGGAATATGAGGTTAGAATAGGTTGTGTCTGATGTATCTGGACACAATGACGGTATCTCTATGCACAGTGGGTGGTAAGGGCTCACCACTACTGTACGTCTGGGTGCCATGCGGGACAGCGGCTCCCTGGAGCAGGGCACCAGTAGTGCTGGAGGGCTCTCCGGGGGCCCATCAGGGCAGGACAGTGCCTGGCACCCAGCGCCCGTCCCACCGTCCCAGCCCGGAGCAGGCAGCCGGGGGGCACTGGGACAGCTCCCTGGGGGCCAGCACTGGCCAAGGCCAGGCTGGGCTGTGTGCCTGCAGGTGAAGCTGGAGCCCGGCCCTGCCGTGGTGTTGCTGGGGCCGGGGCTGACCGCCCTGGGGCTGACATGGGGCCCTGGGCTGCAGGCAGGGTGGGGAGTCCCAAGAGCCAGGCAGGGACACTGGCCACTGTTAGTGCCCCCAGGCCCCTGACACTCTAAAGCTGTGCTCATTAATGATGCCTATGGAAGTTCAGCTGAATAAATTATGCAATTTTATGCATAAAACACATTAAAATATTACCAAACAGCAGCTATTAAAGCTATTAAAAACGTCAGTTCACCTATGAGTTAATATACATTTACTAACTGGTAGACATTATACAGTAGTGCTGGGTTGGAGAGGGGAAGAGGAAATCCTGTTGAGTGCAAAGCCTTTTTGGTTCCAGCCAAGAAGAAACCCCTTCTTACTTATTTGATAACTTATTTATTCAGTACCCATGAAATAACTCCTCTTTTCAGGGGTCTGAACACCTCAACTTGGATTTCTCTTCTCACACAAGAAAGAAAGATAAGGATTTTCACTGGAATTTGGCAGTTTTTGTACAGACCTTACCCAGCCCTTGGTGTTCCTGTTCCACCACTGAGGCCTCCTCCATCTCTAGCCTTCAGAGCAGCTCCCCTGGCTGCAGCGCAATTGGTGCCTTAGTTTCTTCCTAGCAGAATAGATGGTCCATTCAGTTAAATCATGAAAGGAATTTATTTCCAGGGTAATAAAAATATATACAAATATTGGCATCAAAAGTAAATTAAAAAAAAATAAATCCAGTGTTCATTTCCAGGTGTAAGATCCATCCAGACTTCTTAAAGCAGGGTTCATTAATAATCCTTCACTGAAGGCTTCAGATTTTGTCCCATCAACACATCCGTGGTCATTAGTTATAGGAAAGTAATCCTTCATGACAGATGTAATGGAATAAAACACTCAGTGTATTAATGAAATTAATTTCCAGCATATGTGTAACTCATGTCTACTTGTTTACAAATTTTGAACCAGTAATTGTCATCAAACAGTATGTATGTGAAACATTGAAACACAAAACACAAAACTACTACGATGTCAGGTACTTGTAGAGGAAGAAGAATTCAAATTAAGACCATGACAACTCTCTCACTGTTGTCTTATTGCACCAATGGATAAAAATAGCTGCCCAAAACCTATGTCTCTCTCTAATGCATGAGTAAGATAACTAAGGCAATCATACCTTGGATTTCTGGAAAGTATTGGAAGCCTGGGTTTAGAGTTGGGAGTGAGAACAGGGCTTTCATAGAGAAGAAGGGAGATGGTCACAACTGACAATTCATCAAAACTGAAATTATTCCCAGAAGAGCTTCCTGTCCTCAAAAAAATGGGAAAAACAGGTTTTGAAATTCTATAAATGGGCCATTTCAACATTTTTAAAACAAAAAGTCTGGGTTTTGCGGTTAAAAGCATCTTCTCCTGTTGAAACTTAATTTAGTTTATATTAAAAGGTTAAAAACAAAAAAAAAAAAAAAAAGTCAGCATTAAAATGAAATATGCTTGCTTGTTTCTTAAGTCGCTCATATATTCACTAAGCCCCACGCCAGGCTTGAAATTTCAAAATCAAAAGAATCCCTGTGGGAAAAGAAAACTGTTTTCTGTATACCCACACAACAAACGGAACATTACCAGTTCAAGGTCTTCCCAATTTCCTTGCAGTGTGGCTCAAAAATTACTTTTGAGAACAACTTTGATTAATGGAAACATAGTCTAGACCTCCAACATTTCAAATGCTTAGCAACTTCTTATTCCCCTCCCCCTTTTTTATTTTTATTATTATACTTCTTATAAGAGAGCTACATAAATAGTCTTTAGCGAACTGAAACTAAGGAGTTCCTTCAGCCAAATCAACTCAGAATTGTTCTTGTAGTTTCATTAAATCAAAGTATTAAACACACACACACCTAGATTTAAATATGACATTTGCATGGCAAACAGATTAGTCTCTGTTGATGCTGAAACTGTTACAACAAAGTGGGTTGTTGAACGGGGTTGCTGGTTTGGTTTTTCTAAAAGGATAATATATTTGAAAAGCTTGAGAGCAGTCAGAGGCCACTCCTCTTTGTCAGCACCCAGTTTTTTCAATCATCTTTTCACAGGAGCACAAAACACGGTTGCAAGAGAATGTTGAACTTATCTGAATCAGCACAAGATATAAATTTATGAAACTTAAGACCAGAAAAGACGGCTTGATAAAGCAATCTGAATGCCTGCATCAAGCTATCAAATTTCCTCTGGGCTCTCATATTGTGTTCCCTTCATTGTATCTGAGTGACACACTGTGTTTGGTTAATGCATGTCTTGCAGACAGCCCTCCAGCTGAGGGACGGTTGAGATATTTATTTAGGCACAATGTACATATATAGAAGAAGTGAGCCACAAAGAGAGTTTTAAACAGTCACAAAACCAAGGGTGACTATAATCTAAAAACTAAAAACCTGCCTCCAGAATTATGCATATCCATCCTGCACACAAAATTATCAGCTTTCAGTGAAATAGTCGAAAAATTACACCATGATGTTTTTTCAGATCTTCTAGTGTTAGTTAGGACATCTCAACTATGTTGTCCTAGCAATGCTGCCAAACCCACCTCTGTGGGTAGAAGACATACTGGCACAGGAGCAATTTTGTCTTATGATTAATGAGACAGTTTAACCGTACTGAAGGAATACATTTTGCGACCATTGTGGTGATTGCTGATAACAGTATATGCTATACATATACACAAAGCCCTTTGTAGTGTAGGCTACAGGTTTTTTTATCAGAGAAACAGTTCAGTGGAGCTATAAAGATGATGTTTGAGAGCCATCATGAAATGGCAACGCCTTTCTTCCAAGAAGTGTAGTCACTTAATTTGTTCTGTCTTTATAGCAAGAAAAATACGTCTCAACACTGAAGAACTATTTCTTTTCATGTTCAGCTGTTCAGCCAGGTACAGCTTTCCCAAACTTCCAACTGTCCCACTAGATTTAAGTTTCTCCAGTGCCCAAAGGCCCAAGGCTCTGGAAATCTGGGGAAAAAAATGTTTTAGCTGTTTACAACTGGAGAACTTCAATTGGAGAGGAGGGGAGGGGGCATGGAGGGGAAAACTCCTTTTAAGCAGTGTGCCAGATAACCCTACAAGGGGGAATAAACTAAAGTTTAGCTTAGAAATGGTCTGGAATAGTTAGAAATATCTTAAAATTTCCTTCATAGATTTTCTTTCATTTCACTGAGTGAATCTAGCTTGCTTACTTCAGATTTTAATGACTGAAATACATCATGTAGGAAAGCAGCAGCATGAATACTTGTTTATACACTCTTTCATGAACTGAAGTACACTGAGCTCTTTGGGGTAGAGGAAGGGTCTCTATAGTCCTCAAAAAGGGATTTCCAATATTGTAAAATTATGCTAGTAATATGACTTGTGACAGAAACATGCAGAAACAGTACTACCATCTGTAATTATCTAAAATCTTTGGAATGATATCTACCCCAAAATTAGGGGATGGATTCAGATTTGTGCTATGATCATCACTACGTCTAAGGAGTTCTTTGTAATGGTATTTGTAAAATTATAGACCTATAGGTTTTAAGGCTAGAAAGGACCACATAGAATATCTCATGTTCCCTTCTCTTTAGTACAGCCATGTAATTTCACCCAGCTGTGTCTCCACTGTTTGCTAAAGCATGCCATCCACTCTCGGTTTGCAGACTTCAATAAATGTAAGCTCACTGTTCCTCTTAATAATTTGTTCCAGTGGCTGATAACTCCATTGTTAGCAACCAAGGAGTGTAACACTAATCTAGGTGACAACCAAAAAACACTGGGAATAGCTCTACCTGTTTAAATTATGATATTTGAGATAATTAATATCCTTCTCACCAGGTCTGTTCATCATAAAAGCAATAGGGCTTTAGGAAATATTTTTTTTAAGCAACCACTACTTTTGTGAACTTTTCACATTTGTTTCTCATCATTTGGGTTTCTAGAAGCTTATAAAATTTGGAGGCAAATCCGCATTCTGGTTTCCATCTCCATAGGCCACAATGCTTTCAAACAATGACTGATACTTTCTTCTGTAGCTTTCCGTGATTTCCATGCAGCCTTTTTCATGATAGAATGGAAGCCGCCTTCTCACAATGAAATTATTCCCATACGGATTCATTGCTGAAAATTCATGAGAACTCCTGCACATGCACAAAAAAGGAATAAGAAATGTGAATACTCTTTGGGATGCCACAAAACACATTTCCAGATAAAATAATAGTTTGCATTTTTGCAGATCTTTCCATCTTCAAAGCATCAGGCATGCATTCATCATCAGAAAAGATTAGTGATATTAAATATCATAAACATTATTTTACTAAGGTTCTGCTTCACCATCACTGCCATATTTAGCTGCCACAGTTCAAGGGGTGATAAAATTATTCTGTATGACTGTCAGACTTGGCCCCTGTAAGTGTACCCAACTTTGACAAGTACATCGCAAGTAGAATTCTTGGAAATCTCACTCCCTGGAACAGGGTTAGGATATGGAAAGAGTGTGTCGCACAAAAGCTGACTACTACCATATATTAAGACCAGGTGGTCTTAATGGGTGGGCTACAACCCTCTTATCTGCCCTCCCTCTGTAAGTCTGTACTTACTTTGAAGCTTTACCCTTACAAGTTCTGAGTCCTTTATTAGAAGCTCAGGCTCAGCAGCACAGAGGATTAGTCTTTATTGTCTCACTCATGGCCAGGCCTGTCTGAAGGCCCTTTTTTCTGTAAGAGGTGCTTATTGATGGCAGAAGTCCTGTGGAGGTTAATTCCCAGAATACATCCATACATGGTAATGAACCACAGTGCAGAGACTCCAGAGCAAACCTGACAGCTGAGGTAGCCCTGGAGCATTATTCAGAAAAGCTGTTAAGGTCCCAAAAGCAGCTCAACCATGATTTTATGATCCTGTGCCCAACCAAGTCAGACCTAGGTCTAGTTCAGAGCCACCTTGATACAGCTCTACCAGTTCAGTTCCCATCTCACCATTACTGCAGCGCCTCCATAACAGTGACACAAAGCCAAGAACTGCGTGCTGCAGTGGATTATTACAGCAGCCAACACTTCAGAAATGAACACACAACAATGCTGAACACAAGAAAGCACTTTAAAGTTTTACGTTTATCATCTGTTACACTGACAGAGAGGGAAGCCTAAATTTGACTGATTTAATCAAACTAAGAAATTCAAGCATCTTCCACCTAATTTTAGGCCAAATAAAATTGCAACAATGCAGAAGCAGATGATAAATCAAAAGCAGAAAAATAGGAATTAAAGCTCAGTTCAGGCCTTTCATCTTTATTACCCTTCTTTATGTGCATATGGTAGGTGTTCAACACTTTCCAAGTCCGTATGATATTCCTTTGTGCTTCAGGAGCTGTAGGGCTGTAGTTGTCTATAAAAAGGCAACCTAACAGTTTCCTGTGACCGAGAGTTGAATGTGTTATTTGTTACCAGCTGGTTCATAGATAGATTGAGCCAAAGTCATGGCTTTAAGTGATCAAATTTACTTTAAACCACTCGCTCACGGGGTGAATTCATGTATAGAGGGAACTCTGGTGCAATATTTTATTTCTGACTTATGGCATATGACTCTTTTTTTTTTTTTTTTCTAAACCAATATTCAAACCAGAACCTATAATATGCCAAATGCAGACTGCATTTTTTTGGAAAGCTGATACCAAACGTAACAGTAAATGAACCCTTCTGAAAGGTTAAAGTTGCTTTCATATAAAACATTTTCTACCAGGAAATGGAAGTGGAATGTTGAACTAAGCATTTAACTTGAAAGAACTGTGCACAGATGCCAATGGTTGCATTATCCTTTAAAATAAAAAAATAAAATAAAATTTAAAAAAACTAAATGTATTTATGATCATACATAGCTCTAGTTTCATAAAAGGGGTCTTATGATGACAAGGTAAAATGAATACCAGTATTTTGGATTCTTCTTTTAACCTTCTAACAGCTCCCTCCCTGTGCATTAACCATTCTAGAGTGAGGTTTCACAATATGGCTGAATTCATCTAACAGTCCTGCTTCTTCTACTTCTCCCTTCATCCTTCCTTCCATGGCATGCAGGCCCATCTCTTCCCTTCCGCTTTCCCTGATTTTCACATGGCTCCTTGATGAACCCCACTGAATTACTAAACCAAAATAAAACTATTCATATTATTATTTTGCTGAGTTAGTTGTCTACCTGCTGGCAAAGTGAACCAGCTCTAGGGGTGATACAGAAATCAGAGCTGGTACAGAAGCAGCAATGGCTGAGAACAGCACTTCTAGATTTTCTTGGGATACCTCAAACCCTTAAAACACCCATTCTAAATAATGTGTTTGCCTCTTACAAGTATACTTACCATTTGAGACTGTGGACCTGTTGTGCTAGCTTCTGCAAAAAGCTACGAAAGAAAGTGATCATACCAAACAGATTTACCAAGACTTACCAAGACATCAAAGATAAATGGCAGACAGATGCACCATAGGGTGTTTGCCCATTCTCAGGAGTAGACACTCCTGCATGAGGGCAGAGACTCATGCATCTTAATATTAAGTAATCAAAGAGTGTCTCTTTACTGGGTACAATCTTTTGCTTCAGGTGGGGGAGACAACATTATACAGTTTCCTTGACTCTTAATTCCTTCATCATTCTCAGCAGGGAGGGGAGAAGCCATTCAAATTAGCCTGACACATTGAGCTACTGCTGATTTGCCAGATTCCAGTGTCCTCAAGTGTGACACAGCATTATTATTCAGTGTCCTGTATTTAAAATCAGAAGTGACTTAATCTGGCTCTCTGCCATCCCACTTGCTGACATGTTGACACCATGTAAATAATGCATAGTTGTGTGACCACACTACTTTCATGACACATGCTGAGAGAAACAGACAACACCTGCTATTGTTATTAGCCACATCATAGATACCTTGTAAATGTGCAAAATAAACATCAAAATTAATTCAAACATGCTGTGGTCTCCAAACTTCTTCATTAGGACTCAAAAGGAACCTGTGCATCCATTGTGATTAAAACCAGAGATTGCCAATTTACATCTCACATACTTTAAAAGTCAGCCTTCTAAGACTGTTGATAAATAACTGAATTTGTTAACTGACACAAGAATTTCTACCAGCAAGACTTTTCTCTGTACAATGCTGACTGAAAAGGCCACCATTTCAGTGGAAAGCTCAAAAAGCAACAAACACCCAGTTCTATTCTGCAAAATTCTAACTATCTAATTAATATCAGACACTGCTCCCTGCTAACATTAGCCAGTCTATTTCTACTCTTCTGATCACTTCAAAATGTAAACCTACTAATTCATACTCTTTAAACCAAACTGAAATTGTGGTTTTCAGTGAGGAACACTGTAAAACAAAGATAGCACATCTGATATATCACCTACTTCATACATGACCATCTTTTATCATCTAAATGTCATACAACCTCAGTCATATTAAGAGCACACAGCAATATATACTGCTTTTCACAGGGCATTTAACAAGGTTGAAAGTTATTATCTGTATCACTGGTCCCCAACTATTTTCACACACACCCTCCTTTCCAATAGTGTAACTGCCAAGCAGAGACAACTACTGATTATGTTTTTACCTTTCCATGGTGTACAATAGTAGAAAACTTGATCATCATCTTCATTTCACGGAGCTTATGCTATCAGAGCAGGACTGTGATACACATTCTTCTTGTGAAGACATACAGAAGTAACTGTTAAGTCAGTAGAGACAACAAAATACAACAAACTATGAGAAATAAAAATCAAGGCTTTAGAGTTAGGATGGCTGTGGTGTTATGGAGAACTCACCTCAGTCCTCATTCTGTGGCCAGCAGTAGGGAATTGCACCTATATAGACATGCACTTCCCTACTGACTTTAGATTCCCAAAGCCTGAAATAAAATATCTGGCTCCAAACCACTGAACTGCACAACTAGATCATAATTTCTCAGGGAAAATCAGATATACAGCTCAAAATGCTTTGCCCAAATACATTCCTTTAGATACTTTGGAAACTAGCAAACATAGAAAAGAAAGGGAGGGTTTGTTGTTTGGTTTGGTTTGTTTTGTTTTGTTTTTTTTTTCCCCAGCTCCTGTGAGACAGTCAGAGCACACAGAAATTTGGTTTATGTCTGCTCAAGAATGAATACATTGGACAATATTCTGTAGTTGTCTACATTGTTCAAAAGGATCAGCATTTTGAGAGTCCCAGACTGAGACTAATTCTTTCTGTTTTCTCCATTAAGAAGATCAGGAATCCTGTGGTCTCTTTTCAAAGGAATGTCTTTGTCCAGAATCTTGCCTCAGAGATTTATTTGCACTATGTTATTTAGAACAGAAAAGAACACTGGAATGACTTCCTAATTTCTTTAGTAAATCTGTTCTCAATCTACTTTATTCCAAGAATTTTTATAGACAGTTTCTTACATGATGTTCTACTCTGAAGCTCTGTAATTACACACACACACTGGTCAAACTTTCTCTTGACCAGAGCAGGCTTGTAGTAATTCCAGTAAATTGAAAGGAAAAGTTTGGGGAAAAGAGTATGTTGGTTGAGAAGATAACACTGCTCAAGGTGTGATTTCTGTTCTGACAGTTGCTATAGGTAATGCAGATGCCCCTCACACAGAAGTGAAAAAGCCTGTCTTGTGGAGGTTTTGTACAGTTTTTGTTTTGCCTGGGGTTTGGATTTCACAAGGCTAGCTAGATTGCCCTTGTCTAGGACACCCCAGGGGTAAAGCCAGATGGTGTCTGTGTACAAGCTGGAATGAGTGAAAACTGGGAAGGGGTAGTGGCTGAAAACCAGGGAATAAAACCCACTGAACTAGATGAGTGGGTAAAATATAAAAAGTTAACAAGAAGTTATGAAGTGGCATGACAAGGGTAATGAAGTGTGCTTCCTATAGGCAAAAACGTGAGTATTTTGAGGGGAATGTCAAATCTATTTGGACCTTTTTTCTAAAGTTCATTCAAAGCTGCTTTCACCATGTTTTTTTTCCTCTCCCTCAATGGAAATCTTGTGAGAATTTTATTAGCTTCAGAAAATTCCTCTAAATTCTGTTGTTAGATATATACTTGTATATGCAAGAATAAATTAATTATTCCAAACAAGTCCAGTGCTAGACAAGTAGCAGTAAAAATAGCACAACTTGCACATTCTTACTAAGAGCTAGCTCAGCAGCCAGCAGCACTGCCTGAATGGTCAACTATAAATGTTCTCATTATGTGGTAACATAATTTGACTGTTTCCTCTACCAAAATGTCCTATTTAAGTGACTTAAAATGTACAGGTAAGTCTCATATTTTGTGCAGCTGAAAGTATGTCAAAACTGAAAGAGACAAATCTGGGTAAATGTGAGCTACCAACATCAGTAACAAGCTTCTTCAAGAGGAAATGGTGTACTCTTCCTGTCATTGTGGTTTGTCTCTCAATGTCAGAGGGGGAAGGAATGAGGAAAATAGACATTCTGCCACATCCAAAGGCAAGATCTTCCAATGGTGAGGCTTTCTTGCATTTTTTCTTATGTCCATATTTACAAACCTGAGCACATGTGGTTTCACAGAAACATTCAGAAGGGAAGATAGAGGTAATGAGCAGCACATGCGTGACCGGTTTCCAGTGGTGGTTGAGGTGGGTGTGCTGGATACCAGGCCAGGTTGGTGGAGCAGCAGTGAGGGCTGTGTCATGGTCAATGGCACCATCAGAGTTGTGGCAAGAAGCTGGGTGTGAGGGCAGAGGATGCACATACATACATGAGCCCTGTCAGAGTCCAGCAGCAGTTAATTTCCTTGCTTATGAGTTGTATCTTTTGCAGACCAGCTTCAACTGACACAGAAAATAGCATTTTTTTTCATACATATAATGATTATTGCTCCATCTATACAGCATTTTGAACATTTTCTGTGTCAAACAGTGCTCTAGATTTTTTTATTTTGTACTTTTAACATTTTCTTTTTCACATCTAAAAAGCATGCACCGTTCCACATAGAGATGTAATCTCTACTAGATTGTTTACAATTCCAGTGTTATACCCTTTCTTATCTGTTCACTTTGGCTAATGTGGCTTGATGATTTCACTCTGTGTTTTCTCTTTTCAATTGTATACATCAGATAGCAGATATTCATACTTCCCTTCCATTATGTGACACATTTTCATAATGCAGAATGACAACGTGGCAGACTTACTTTTGCAAAAAATTAGCCTTGATCTACTCTACAGCATTTCCTAGAAACTAGCATTAATTTTTACAGTATAAATTAAGGAATGAAAGGTATGGACTGTACTGTGTTTGCAACTATTAGATTCTGTGTGTTACATTTCTGCAGAAAATCAGTACTCACTCAATTATTCTGAAGATTCATTTGTTACTTAAGGTTAATTCTATTTCTGAAATAACCTCTTTAAAACTGTATTATCTGTTTCATCTCTGTGCTAGCCTGCTATCGCTGATATGACTGATGCTTTGAAAGACATTGCCGTGAAAGGAGACTACACTTGCAGCAGCGTACTTGTAAGCTAACTGTCATCCATCTTCTCTTTTACAGTATGTCCTGGTATAAACAATGGGGAAAGCAGAGGCTTACTGAGGCTGCATTTAAAAGTGGTGAATCAGAGTTTCATTGAAAATTTGTTGAGGGTGCTAGTCTGTAATTTTAGAGATGTTCAATGTTCTAGATAAATGTATACTTCCAGATAAATGTATACTTTCTATACCTTTCTGTAAAGAGCTTTAGTACCTTAACTCCACTTACTTCAGCTCAAGGTGAGTGCTTTCAAACTCCTCAAAGCTGTAGTAGACAACTACTTGAATGTTAAAAGTCTAGATACCCTGAAACATCTGAATCCCAATTCTTGATGACCAGTAGTCTTAGCCTGCCAGCTCAATTCAGTCTTGAACACTGTACTATATGTTACCTACCTACCCTCTAGAACTAGGTCATCACCACTCATCTGAACAGTAACTCAGAAGTAATGAATCAGAAATATCCCTCCTGGGCTGTATTTGAAGTTGTGACATAGAGGTAAAAAGCTAATCACACCATTATAACCATCCTAACCCTCCAGTCTTACCACCATTCATACCTCCAATTAAGCATGCAAAAAATAAATATATTCCTGATGTTTTTTCCTCAGGCTTGGTATGAGTGATCTGTCAACGTCCAGAAAATTGCTAAGAAAAGATGTTGTGAAACAATTTTTCATTCTAAGTTATTTCTTTTATTCTAAATAGATACTTAATTTTTTTAATTTCAGGAAAATTTTTTTTAAAAAAGAGAAGAATTTGTCCTTTTAAGATTATATCAGTGAAAGATCTAGCAAGCCAAAGTGCTTTCCTTTTCCATTCCAACTAAATCATACACTATTTGGGGTAGAAATTTGGCAGGAAACTCTGTTGGATTATCCCTTCATTGTGGCTGGACTGATTTCTTTATCCTTTTTTGATAGATGGACGTTGAGCCGAGCCCTGAATATCTTCAGTGGTGCTGATTCCAAAGCTTCGTTTGGCAGCTGGTTTCCTTGGCTATGAGTCTTTGTGTTTATAAACTTTTTCCTAATATATAATCCCAATTTTCCCCTCACAGTGCTTAGAGCCACTTTTCTTTCTTTCTTTCTTTCTTTCTTTCTTTCTTTCTTTCTTTCTTTCTTTCTTTCTTTCTTTCTTTCTTTCTTTCTTTCTTTCTTTCTTTCTTTCTTTCTTTCTTTCTTTCTTTCTTTCTTTCTTTCTTTCTTTCTTTCTTTCTTTCTTTCTTTCTTTCTTTCTTTCTTTCTTTCTTTCTTTCTTTCTTTCTTTCTTTCTTTCTTTCTTTCTTTCTTTCTTTCTTTCTTTCTTTCTTTCTTTCTTTCTTTCTTTCTTTCTTTCTTTCTTTCTTTCTTTCTTTCTTTCTTTCTTTCTTTCTTTCTTTCTTTCTTTCTTTCTTTCTTTCTTTCTTTCTTTCTTTCTTTCTTTCTTTCTTTCTTTCTTTCTTTCTTTCTTTCTTTCTTTCTTTCTTTCTTTCTTTCTTTCTTTCTTTCTTTCTTTCTTTCTTTCTTTCTTTCTTTCTTTCTTTCTTTCTTTCTTTCTTTCTTTCTTTCTTTCTTTCTTTCTTTCTTTCTTTCTTTCTTTCTTTCTTTCTTTCTTTCTTTCTTTCTTTCTTTCTTTCTTTCTTTCTTTCTTTCTTTCTTTCTTTCTTTCTTTCTTTCTTTCTTTCTTTCTTTCTTTCTTTCTTTCTTTCTTTCTTTCTTTCTTTCTTTCTTTCTTTCTTTCTTTCTTTCTTTCTTTCTTTCTTTCTTTCTTTCTTTCTTTCTTTCTTTCTTTCTTTCTTTCTTTCTTTCTTTCTTTCTTTCTTTCTTTCTTTCTTTCTTTCTTTCTTTCTTTCTTTCTTTCTTTCTTTCTTTCTTTCTTTCTTTCTTTCTTTCTTTCTTTCTTTCTTTCTTTCTTTCTTTCTTTCTTTCTTTCTTTCTTTCTTTCTTTCTTTCTTTCTTTCTTTCTTTCTTTCTTTCTTTCTTTCTTTCTTTCTTTCTTTCTTTCTTCTTTCTTTCTTTCTTTCTTTCTTTCTTTCTTTCTTTCTTTCTTTCTTTCTTTCTTTCTTTCTTTCTTTCTTTCTTTCTTTCTTTCTTTCTTTCTTTCTTTCTTTCTTTCTTTCTTTCTTTCTTTCTTTCTTTCTTTCTTTCTTTCTTTCTTTCTTTCTTTCTTCTTTCTTTCTTTCTTTCTTTCTTTCTTTCTTTCTTC